TGTCCTGGGCCCTTGAAACTATGCTCTAAGCGCATATTCGTGTCTCAGTTCGCGTACACCTCCGTCCGCGTATGAGATTTTCCAATCGCGATAATGCAAAATCGACCTACGCCGCCCATGTCTTATGCTTCAGAGCTTCAGATGGTAAAGTTAGCTCGTAAGTCACATTTCACGTGATGTATGTCTCTCGGCTCATGTTCCCGTCATCAGACGCGTAGACCAAGAATCTATGGCCGAAGCAATTGGGAATACCTTTTTTACGTGTGATGGATGCGCACTGGGCAGTCATTTCCAGGGTCATGTTTGCTAAGTGGTGCATATGATCACTAGCAGTACAGTAAGCTCAATTTGTAGGCTGCCCGCGACATGTGCATTGACCATTCCAGGCCTATACATCACCTGCGCATGCCAAGGCCATCATCCACGATGACGCAGTGTCGGCCGGAGCAGTAAACAACGCCAGCTTAAAGTCTAATATCCACCGTATTCGGCGGGGAGGCACCCAAGGCACAGCGACCTCAGCGACAAATGATCCAAGTGGTCATGCAGACTGTAGTGGGCGCGGTGCTTTCAATGCCCCTTCCGTCATGCGGCACATGTTCTTCATTCTTTGGAGATGGTACGCTGTTGCAAGATCCGCCATCGCAGTTCGTCGTACGATGCGCCAGCATCTCGTTGAAGTTCCCGCCTCCAGACCATGTACTCCAACAGACCCCGAATGGCTGAAGAGCATTTCGCTCAGATAAGATAACACACCTGCCTTAGACATGAGCGAGGGCAATGGCCTTTGGAGACTACCCATTCCGACGCGATGGAAGTAGGTCGCAGCATGGCGCTTATTATGCTAAACGCGGTGCGTCTGATGACGAAATGGTCGCGAGATGAGATCTGATAAGTCCCTGTGGCCGCTCGCGAATATAATATTTATTCTGTCAGCAACCTGTTTCACTCCTTTCCGCCATACCACAACAGCACACCGGCTTTTCTTGCTGTCTCGCGCACAGCATCGCCTCCGGATCTCAGACTCCTTGGCTTCCTATTTACTGTCATCCTTCACAATGTCGGCGGACCTCCACGATCTCATTTTGCAAGCTCTACCCCCTGAGCATTTCCTCGCTCAGCCGCGACCGGATGCTGCTTTCGGACCACCCGCCGGCACCGTTGACACTACGACAGTAGCGGCTCACGACTTCGACGTTGACACGCGTACTGGGCTCATGCCTCCACAGCCGCCTTTGACCCGCCTGCCTCCCGCCTGGGAGCCATGGGAAGAGCTTCTTGACGACGCACGAGACGGCAAGCTGCAGCTTGGCGAAAAGCCTAATTTGTCAGAAGCTAATACGGCACGTTCGGAACGATGGCGTGCTCGCGTTCGGCAGGTGAGTGGCAACGATTGCCAAAGCTACGAGCGATATCATTCAACGTGTATCTAGATGCCCGTGCTCCCAACCGTGGACCTCAAAGCGTCAGAGCTGCTCCTACGGCGCGCTCATCATGTCCTAGCATGGATCATGCACTTTTACATTCGGACATTGCCGCCATCGACCCCGAACATTCGCATACCACCGCCCATCACCGTGCCTCTCTTGCAGGTTTCCCAGCACCTACAACTTCCACCTGTCCTCACTTATTCCGACGATGTACTCTACAACTGGGCCCCGAAGCGTCCGGAACCGCTTGCCCCCGCACCATCGCTCGACAATCTCCGTTGCCTTACGCTGTTCACCGGCACACGAGACGAAGAAGAGTTCTACCTCGCGTCTGCCCGGATCGAGCTCCGGGGCGTAGAAGCGCTCACCCTGATGCGCGCGACGATGGACGAAGCGTTCGTGGGCGACGAGATCGCCGTGCGTCGCATCACCTCGTACCTGCACTCGCTCGCGGGCGTGATCAGCGATCTGACGAAGCTGCTGCTCGCCGTGCGCGAGGGCTGCGACCCGCAGGTGTTCTACCACGAGGTCCGCCCGTGGTTCCGGGGCGTCGACTCGGACGCGAACGCGCCGAAGTGGGTGTTCGAGGGCATGGAGCTCGACCCGGAGCTCAAGGAGCCGCTCGAGCTGTCTGGCCCCAGCGCAGGCCAGAGCTCGCTCGTGCACGCGCTCGACATCTTCCTCGGCGTCGACAGGTACTCGCACGCGTCGCAACTCACCGGCCGCGCGGAGCCGGCCGAGCAGCCGGAGAAGCACCCCGCGTCGTTCCTCGAGCGCATGAAGTCGTACATGCCCCGGCACCACCGGTCGTTCCTCAGCCACCTGCAGGCGAATCCCCGTCCTCTGCGGGCCATCGTTGAGACGTCAGGTGATGCGAAGCTGACGGAGGCGTATAACACCGCGGTCTCGGCCCTCAAAGTGTTCAGGGATGCGCATGTGCGGATCGTCACCCTCTATATTGTTGGCCCGTCGAGGCGCGCCGGACAGGACGCAGACATTGCGAGGGGCACGGGTGGGACCAGTGCCATCCGGTTTGTCAAGAGCGTGAGAGACCAAACGGCGAACGCCGTCATTCCTCAGCGGTAGCTCAAAGCTTTGGTTCTTCCTCCCACGCTTTGATTCTTCTTGATCCTGATCCTGGGTTACCGCACAACGTAATTCACTGTATAGAGCGTATAGACTACCACATTCCGAATTCTCCTCGTGTACCTTACAAACCGCATCCCTACTCGTCACGACCCCATTTATGACTTGTCGCCGTAGAATATGCCCCTGTGAACACGGAATGAGTCAGCGTCAACATTCTTCCCAAGTGCAGGCCAGGCCAGACCCACCTTCCGTTCGTCCCGACATAGACGCTGTAACACGAATGACCAACACAACTCGGTGAGCCCGTCTTGGTTTACGAAGCAAACGCAGAGACACGCACCGTCCGTATACACGTGGGTCGGCGGTCAGCACGTTGCTGCTGACCGAGCCGAAGCCGTGGGCGGCGTCATTGATCTTCACCCACGTCTCGCCCTCGTTGTCGGAGCGGTAGTACCCGACGCCTCCGCCGCTGCCCGCACTGAGGCTCGCCGCGGCGAAGACCGCCGGGTAGCTGTTCGTGCTCTCGGGCGCGCCGAGCGCAATGGCCCATGCCTGCAACGGGTACCGCCGCCGTCAGCTTCCGTCTTTCCCCGGGGAGAAAATAAAATGTGAGAGAAGGCCGCGCACCTGTGTGACGCCGGAGACGGCGGCGAAGCTCGCGCCGGTGTTCGTGCTGTGGAAGAGGCCCTTGTCCGTCGAGACCCAGACATCACCGGACGCTTTCGGGTTGACGACGACCTTGACGGGCGACGTCGAGCCGGCGAGGGTGCCGGGCGCCGTGGCGAACGTCGACCCGCCGTCCTTCGACACGAAGAACTCGGGTCCCGCCGCGGCGTAGAAGACCGAGTCGTTCTTCCGGTCTGCCGCGATGGCGGCGCCGGACGGCAGGGACGTGACGGAGACGAACGTACTGCCCGACTGGGAGACCAGCACGCCTGCGTTTCCACTGCTCCACAGGATGTTGGTGCCGTTCGCGCTGAGGGCGATCTAAAAACAGTTTTTTGAGAATTTGTCTTGGACTCTCGCCGAGATGGCCCCACCTTGCCGCTATTCACATTATCGGTGCCACCTGTGCAGCAAATTGAGCACGAGATGGATCAGATTCTAAAAAGTGGAAGTGTACCGATATTCTGCGACCAGGTGTTTCCGGCGTCTGTTGACAGGGCGAATTCACTAAAGTGTCTGTCAGTGGAAGTCACTCCAGAAACGCAAGTTAAAAACTTGCCCGTTGCTGTTTCCAATGCGAACCATGGTAGCGGGTACATTCCCGGCAAAGTCGAGGTCTACATTGGTGGACCACAAGGGGCTGAATCGAGCAGCCGCCGTAGGTGCAGTGTCCAAATTGAGATGTACGAAGCCTACGGGTTACTCTTGGTGAGCATGGCGACGAAGTCCTAGATACAATAAACGTACCTCCGTTATCGCCAACAGCGGACAACAAAGGCGGGCCTGCGGGGGGCGAGATCAAGCCCTCCACTGCGTCCTCCTCAATCCCGTCTGCGAGGGACTTGAGCGTGACGTTGTGTACTGTATCCCAGTCAAGGAGGTCGTGCCCGCCATAGACCGTCTCGCCCGTGCCGTACAGCCAGTGGTTGGAATCGAAGGGGTCGATCGCGAGCGCTTCCATCCACCAGCCGATCTGCTGTATGATCGCCGGGTTCGTGTAGTCGGGCCCGATCCACGGCGCGAGCGAGTCGTCGTACGCGTAGTACTTGTTCAGCACCGGGTAGTCCTCCCACTCCCACAGCGGCGACCAGGTCGAGCCGCCGTCTGTCGTGCGCCAGACTTGTCCGTCGGGCCACCAGCTGTTGAGCGCGGCGACCATGACGGTGCCCGACTCTTGGAGATCAACGGCAAGTCCACTAGATGCTAGTCAGATGTCGGGTTCTGCTATGTTAATGGTATGACACACCCAAAGCCGAAGGTGAGGTCACCTAGAATATTTCTTCGTCAGTAGCTACCGAAAGAGATTATATAGTGACTAAGAGACATACTGCCAGATACAGGGGAGATATTCGTGATGTTGCCACTAGCAATGTCGTATTTGTACAGTGCACCCTGCGAGCCATTCAGCGGCAGAACATTTCGTGACACATTGACAAACGTACGATGGTACCGTCATTGGGCCCTATGGTATCGATAACTTGTCAGCTAATGCTACAGACAGCGGCGGTAAAGTCCTCGTACCAACACCGTCAGAGGTAGACAGGTACAGGGCTCCTTCCTTCGGGGACAAGACGCCCTTGTGGGCCATCCAGCTAGAGTTCGTACCCTGGATCGCGCTCCCTAACGATTGGCCCCTTTCAGCATCCATCGCCTTGTAGAAAACGCGTGGACGTACAACTCTGGCCAGCGTCGTCGGATACAAAGATGTTGGGAGACCCGACAGAGGCCACACCGACGAAGATCCGGGGTGTAGCCTGTCCGGTAGCACCGGATGTCGAGTCGAAGGTGACGAACGTAACGCCAGTCGGGTCGCTGTTGATGCCACTGCTATCCGTCGGGTCCGGTGCGTACGTGCCTGCGGCGCGCGTTTATGAGCCTTTTTGCACGTGGAGGGAAAGAAGCGACGAACCTGAGTCCGGAAGGCTGGTGACTTGCGTCCAGGTTGCGCCAAAGTCTGTGCTCTTCCATAGACCGTGCCCGCTTCGGGCGCCGAAGAGCAGAATGTTGTTGCTGTGGGGGTCGACTGCCAGCCTCTGAAGTACGGTTAGTGACGTCACAAACGATATCAGAGTTATGAAGACTACCTCTCCGGTGCCACGTCCGGGCATGTTGCCTCCGACTTTGAAGGGAAGAGACGACTCGGTGAAGGTCTTGCCTTGATCCGTGGAGGCGAGGATAGTGCCGTTGTTTGGGTCCCAAGAGTTTGTGTACATGCCCGCAGCCTACGGAAGAAGCGTCGATAAAGCCGAACAAGCGAATTATAGCGTTATACCCACAATGTACAGTCTCTGGGTATCGACTGGATCCGTCGCAAGGGCGTCAGAGCCCCAGTAGTCCCAGTGCGTGTTGTCGGCAAAGTCGACCAGGGGCGTCCATGAGTCGTCCGAGTTCAACTTGTAGACACCTCCGATGTCCGTACGAAGATATGCCAAGCCCTTTTCGGTAGGGTTAAAAACGATGCCGGGGACGAATCCGCCGCCACCACCGATCCTGACGTTCTTCCAGGTGTAGGACTGGGTGGAGATCTCAGGCGTCGGCGCCGTGAGCACGGCAGCCGCGCTGAGAAGACTTGGCCCGAGGCCGAAGAAAGCGGGGAGTAGCATCCACGACAGCATGTCTAGACCTCGTGTGGAGAAGGGCCACGACGACCATTCCTCGAGGCCGCCTCTGACCTATATACCACGGCGTATCTCATCATCGCCATATCCACATCTATCTTGAACGTTTTGCAAAGCGTTCTTGAAGGCCGAGTATACGGCGACCGCGACAGCCCTGGTGTCATGGGAGCCACGCCATGCGGCCGTTGCAGGGCCACATGTGGGTTGGGCAGCAGCGACTGGTGGTCCGGGGAAATGGAGTGTGCAATACTGCCGAGATTTCTGCCGAAGATCTGGCACAGCTTAAGTGACACTTCCAAAAAGAATGCTAATGCTAACAAGTCCGAAGAGCATACGTACCTATGGGCATACCCATGTCCGAATCCTTGGTCCTCCGCGTAGACAAGACGGTTCCGCAGGGTCCAGAACAGCCGAGCCTGCGACTAAATGAGCGAGGGATGTACACCGCTAACAAATTTAGGTATTATTCATTTAGAAATCTAACATATAGATGCGCATGAACGGCAAAACAAGGAACTTCGGCTCACCTGCAGGGCGATCACGGCAGGTTACCTTGACTCGGAGTCGTTCTCGCGGCCCATACTCAGTGATGTATATGCTTTCTCGCTGCACAATGCGTTCCGTTCTTCCACTAACGAGAAATCTTTTGTTATGTGCCCCCTGGCCCGGACGCCGACTTGGATTTGCAGCGGTGTCGTCGTTTGAGCGTGAAAGCGTTCGCTGATGGCGGGGTGCGGAGCGAGCCGGGACGCCACAAAGCCGTCACGTGCGACGTTGATGCGCCCCCCCAAGACTGGCCGTCACCGGTCAGCGTTTGACTAGTTCAAGCGCTAAAGGATGATTCGTTTCGACTAGTATAACCTCTATGAACCATTCGCGAAAGACATTTACGCATCAAGTGGCAATATATTACGTGGTGTAAATTGTCATATAGGAAGATTATATAGCAGTATGCTACCCATACTATTTTTCCGGGCTGTAGGTAATCCTCGGCCATTCTCCAGGACGTTCATCGGCTCCGAGTCTTGGGAGAAGCTCCTTCCGCAAATGGAAGAATGCACATATATCTTCATGTCAGACTCCGACAACAGAGTCTCCCTGAAAGCTATCCCTAGTCTCGCATGCTTGGTGCCGACAGTTTTGCCCTCGTCTCTTCGATGCCCTCGAGCTGAGTTTTCATCCGTTTTTTAAGACTTATCGAAGGTTACGCTCATCGTATCATAGAGCACCCGATTATTTTGCGATACTTTAGAGGTTACGATGCTAACGTGTGCAACGCTATGGTCTATACACGCTTCTGCGTATCCGAAAAAAAGGAGAAAAAGAAGAAGCTACTGGCTGTCCTCGAGGTCCGAACACTCGCATCAAAGTATTTTTGGCGGCTGCGCCGGCCGGATGCGGGTTCCATATACCCTTGGCCCGCGCGATGCGACCACATGCGCATTGTCGCGTCCTGTGCAGCAGGATATCGATCTAGTGGCGCCGGCGATGGGTGTTGCTGTCCTTGATGCGCTGCGACAAAACTTGCGCCACCGACACAAACGGACTCAGCTAAGCTCCCGTGCTTGGACTTATGACGAAAGGGCCGCCGGAGTTAACCACCGTGTTGGGATAGGTATATAGGACTAAAAAGTAGACGACTTCAAAGCACTGTAACCACAACACCCTCGAACCGCGGATTGCGGCGGATTCACACGAGCCCAGAATACACGAGGTACATAAGCAGAGATAAACTAGCCCCGTACTGAGACTGTTTGAAGGAGGGAGCGGCCAAGATCGCATAACAGTCAACACTTCACAAAGCCAGCCGCAAAGCATCGAGAATACTCCAGCATCGTACGGTACCGTCATCTGCATGGGACAGAAGATCCAGACCGTTAGGGGTAAATATTATATTCTTCACCTCCCCTTCGTGCCCCTGGAACTCCGCAAAGAATGTTCCAGACTTCGCGTTCCACACGCGCACGCGCCCATCCGCCGCTCCGGAAGCGATAGGGTCGTTCTTGGGCGAGTACGCTATAGCCTCGACGGCGGTGTCGACGTCGTTTCCCAACATGAAACGTCGCTCGCCCGTCCACGAGTCGCACGTGACGACGGTACCGTCCTGTGATGCCGTCGCAACCTCGCTTCCATCGGGCGAGAATGCCGCCGACCTGACCGAGCTCGTGTGCTCGTGTAGCTCCGCCAGCACCTCGCCACTGGTCGCACTCCACACACGCGCGCTACTGTCCTCGGACCCCGTCACGATACGGTCGCCGTCGGGCGAGAATGCCATGCACCCGATTGCGCTGTTGTGTCCAGGTAAGGTGGCAATGCGGGCACCTTCACGTGGGTCCCAGACCGTCACAGAGACGTCTGAACAAGCGGCAAGATGAGAGCCGTCAAGGGAGAAGACGACTCGCTTAACGTCCGACCCGAGGTCGTTCAGGGAGTGAAGCAGCGTTCCGCTGAGAGCATCCCAGATCTTGAGGGAGTGGTCCGAGGAGCCGGTGGCGATCAAAACACCATCAAGGGAGTACGCAACTGCCATGACGTCCTGTGTATGACCCGCCAAACGATGTATGATGACTCCGGTCCCGACGTCCCAAACAAGAGCAAGCGCGTCAGCGGATCCCGAGACAATGTGCTTGCTATCGGGGGAGAAAGCAATTGACCAGATCGTGTCTGCGTGTCCTTCGGTTCCGAGATGTTGGACGGTGAGACCGTCCTGAAGCCTCCAGACCGTGATGGCGATGCTGTCATCCCAGGCTGCCGCGAATAGTTTGCCACTCGGGCACATCGAGACGCACGTTATGGCGCCATTCTCCGCTTCTTTATGCTGCAGCTTCAAATGTTTCCAGTCCAGGGTGCGAGCTGCAATCTGAGAGGGCCCAAACAAAATTCGTCCATCGGCTAGCGCTCCGGCTTCTTTGGTGCTGATGCTCGGGTACTCTGCCTTGCCTGACTCTGAAGAGTCATGGTTGCTGTATTGACGTTCTCGCTCCCGCTGAATCTTCTCTGGAAGCGAAATCATCCCCACTGTGGGAGATAAGATACAATGAACTCGTTTCAGCGATGCAATGATTTGTGTAACTTACTGCCATCGATGATCTCAATTGTAGGACGCGTCTGCCGCAAGTATGACGCCATATCTTCCGGCCAGGGCTGGCCCTACAGCGACGCCATCAATATCAAATTGAAAGGGTATATGAACGGAGCGGCTACTCACCGAAAGGATACTTTCAACATCTTCGTCCGACCCAATAGCCACTTCCGCATCAGAGACCTAACACGAAAGGTCAGAGAAGGCTTCTACGCAAGCGATAGAACTGCTTTCCTCGAAAATATACTCAAGTAAGTCATTGAGGGGCCCTTGGGCATTCTGTTACGTTCATAAGATTAGTTTTGAGCATAAGTTTGCGAACACCCAAACTGAGCTTACGCTCTTGATCCCGTCCATGAACTCATCCTCATCAGAGACATCCATCGTAGACACTCCTTCTCCCCCGCCGTCGCCTCTCCTATCACGGTCGTCCTGAAGCTGGTGGTATCCCGCTGCCGCCCGTACCCACGGGGTGTTGCTCAGCCTCCGTTTCACCATGTAACAGCTGAGGAAAATACACTGGTCCTTGAGCTCCGTCTGACTTGACGAAGGATACGAAGTCCCAGTTCTCGAGAGAGGCCAGGACTCTGTTTCTGAATTGAAGAACGTCATCGCTTTCCAATCCGGCGACGTCTTAACCCAGCTCTGAACGAAGGCGATGCTCTCTGGTTGAATGACTAGACGCGGGCCGTCCTTATGGTTGCTGATATAGTGAAGCCATGTTTCATGACAGTCGTAGATGTATCGGCGAATGCGGTAGCTGTCGAGGATGCCATCCTTTCTTGCCTCAGAATTCAGGACCAGGACAGCCCCTTCATCCCGCCTGCAGGTAAAACGAGCTTCCAAGCCTCCACCGCCTGCGCCTCCCAGGCGATTTCTGCGAGTATGTGAGATGAAAGCTCTTTCACCGTCATGGCTGTACTTACGCCTCGGTATGAAAACTCTCCCCAATTTCTTGCACACCATCACTGCGGTACGATCCTCGAAATAGGAACCCATCGCGTACATCGCGCGACTGCATGACATCGCTCGGCAGCACCTCCGGGTTGGGCAGCGATCTACCAGGAGTTACGAATATGTTCAATTCTTCGCTGTCAGCCACGTTGAATAGCCGGATGAACGCGCCGTCGACGATGTGTCCCACGTCGGCAATTTGCACCTCGCCTGAGGTATGCGGCTCCGGATGCCACAGTGCGCGGCCTTGCCTAAGTGTGCGCATACACGACGCGTACACTTCACTTGGGCGAGAAGGCTTAGGCCAAGAAAGCCGAAGAGGTTGAGGCCGAGGAAGTGCCTCCCAAGGAGGCTGAGGCCGAGGAAGCTCAAGCGGAGGAAGCGCCTCCCAAGGAGGCCGAGGCCGAGGAGGCTGAAGAGGCATGTATTCCATCGCGATGCGCTGATTACTATTCGCGGCCCCGATCTTGTCATATAGGGCGCGAAAGTTGGTTTCTGAGCGATCTCCCTGGCAAAGGATTTCGAGTGGCTGAAGTCGTGGAAGCGCGGTCAGAAGGGAAGGGAGTATGGACCAATTGCGAGAGTCGAGATAGTCGGTGTACAATCCGTTGCCATTATAGTTGTCAGTGGTTTGCGAGTCCGTGATGAAGATGTGATGAATAGACCAAGACTCATCATCGCCGCCAGGAGACGTTGATCTTGCGAGCTGAACCCACAAACGTACGCGCATCCTAGTCACTGTGTCCGAGCCTTCGACCGCCTTCGACCCGGATAGGTAACCAACGAATGTGTAAACATCTCAACAGTATCTTATGAGCATGATGAACTAGCAGACCGATGAATGAATCACCTGCATCAGTATCTTTGGCGTCGAATGTCGAATTCTCGATCATGTCATCGCCTAAGAAATTCTGCATAAATTTGATGAGGGACAATGTTTCTCCAGGAGCTATCGGCGCAGCTTGACGTCTGCTGAACGAGTGATGCGTGCTAATAGCAGCGAAGATCCAGGCGGGCACTGCCACATTGTCTGTACAGCTCCGCATTTGAATTGAGTTGACATGGCTGAAGGCACCGTTGGTGACATTGTTTACGGTATCAATTATCAAGAGGGGGTCAGCCTTCCATGTGACGTGCTTGAAATCAATAGATTCTAGGTGGATGATATCCCCCAACACGCGAAGAAGAATTCGGAATGAAGGGAAGTCGCAATGGAGTAACTTCAGACAGGTGATATTCTTCAGAGAGCTCTTCAAAGCTGCAGTCCGCGAAATACGCCCGGGAGGAATGAGGGGGTCGTGGTTGAGCTTATCGATAGTCCAGCACGCAGGCAAGAAGCGAACGAGTGTCATCCAGAATGGAGGATTGGGAAAGCAAGTACTATGAAACCTCAACGTGGTGACGTGCTCTGCAAGCCAGGCCGACAGCGGGGATCGCACTATGCTGTAGAGCGTATGGCAATCTTCCTCGCTCCTGAGCACAGGGCTGGCGAAGAGACGAGGGCGAAATCGTCGGGAGTGGGCTCGCGAGACTAGAGAAAGCCTTGAGACCTCAGCTTTGTTGTTCGAACTCTCCACGAAGCTCCAGATATAGTCGTGCATTTCGGGTGGAAGTCGCTCCCAAGAACGATCGAATTGGATCTCATCGTCTGGGGGAACACTGGTATCAGCGAACCAGCCAGGCGATCTGGTGGGACGAAATTTCACCCAGTAAATATGTTACGGGAGTAGCGGCACAAGGCAGGAGATTCTGCATGGAGGTTATGTTGGCCGTTGAGTGCTGAGCGCTGAGCATGAAAGCGACGTGCGTCGACGCCCTATGATAGGCGTGCTATCAAGCATGGGAAACTGTTCCAAATGGGGTCGATGGGATCCAGCGGAGTACAGCCAGCAAGTGTGAATAAAACAAAACAAGAGACAGCTTCACTCTCTCCGCGATTGATGTTCTTCTGGTGGCCGTTCTCGTGGAGGCTGTCTTCGTGGCTTGGCTGTGATTGCAGCTTTCTCCGAGTCGTACAGCCTGAGGCCTGAGGTGTTGCCCCGATGTACGCATCAGCCGCGCCGACATGACGTCACCGCCCAGCCCTACTTTACTATTTCTCCATAGTTTCAGCTTTCTAACGAATATTGTATTGGCCTGAGTACATTAGGAAATTCGCAACTACAAGATAGCATGATGTATTATCTTTGGAATTTATTGTTGATTTATCGTGAATCCCCCGCCTGCCCCTGCCGCCTGCCCATGGCTTAGAGATCAGCTTCACGACGGTAGTGCGACAAGTGGCAATTAACTGCTATTCGATATTGCATAATTAATAGCTACGGAGATATCTTTGGCTCAAAATGCATGGGTTGCGAACGATGCTGGAAAATAGAAGTAAGTAACACCAGAAACATGTGTACGAACTACTGCTAGCATTCTGGTTTTCCGAACCCACTGAGCGCGCGCCAGTATTTTGCACTTTCAAGCTCTTCTGCCCGCCAAATCCAGCCTCGATAGATGCAACCCACGTAGATGAAGGTGTAACGGCATATCCTACATGACTTTCGGAATGCGTGAGTTACAGTACATATGAAGCGAGAAAGCTCGCTTCGTAACAAGACTGTTTGAAGGAGAGAGCGACCAAGAGAGCAGATCACATAATAGTTAGCACTTTACATAACCAGCCGCAGAGCGTCGAGAACACTCCAGCATCGTACAGTACTGTCATCTGCATGGGCCATTTAACACTTCATTGAGCGGTTTTCGTGCAGGAAAGAGGAAGACTTAGGCGTCTGAGATGGGAACTGGAGAGGCAGACGCCAAGTGCGCAAAAACATCGTTTGACCGTCGTGTTGTGCTGTCCCATCTCTAACGATGGCCCTATCGGGGAACCGGAGATAACCTAGACAAACATCTCTTCCAATAATGTCGCTAGCTTGATACAGGCTATGAACATACCAAGCATATCGAATAGCAGGCCAGACTCTGAGGGTGAAGGGAGTATACAAGCCGGAGGGTGTAAATAAATTACGCCAGAAAGTCGTGGCCTTCGACGTGCCAGACGTTCCGGCTTCCGAGTTCCGGATTCCGCACCCCGATCAGGGCATTCCGCACCGCTTGGCGTCTATTAAATTAGATTAGATTAGATTAGGCTCTTGATGCGCCCTTCCCAAATCTGGCTGCCGTTAGCGGCCACGTCCAGCGCTCAACGTAGAGTCGACGGCAACCTCCATTCATGGATTGGCAGACAAGGCGTGCGCGCAATATGCCTCAGTCCGACGCGCGTCGTGAGTCGCCAGCTTGCGAGTTTAGGCCGTCCCGCTCATGCTGTTCCTTCAGGTGGAGAACACCGATCGTTCTCCGCGTTCGTCCGCTGCTGGGAGCAGCTTCCTCCTGAACTGCACGAGTACATTCAGGGCTGCCTGGATATTTCTAACGATAAGGCTGGGGCATCAGCGCTCTCCTTAGTCTCTGAAGCCTGGTGCCGACAATTTCGCCCTCATCTCTTCGCCGTCCTCAAGCTGAACAGCGAGCAAGAGTGTCGCACGCTCTATGGCATAGTACAGTCTCTGTTGTCAGCATGGCTTGCAGCGCACATCACTACATTGATATGTGATGTCAGTAGCCTCCCTGAGTTTCCACTCTGGATGGTACTCGTTCGCCTCTTGCCAGCGTGCCGCACCGTCTGGCACCGCACTCTCAATCCCTCCGGACCCGTGTCGCATAGTGCAGCTCTGAAGAGCTCACTGCGGAACACCACCTCCCTGATACTGTCCGGCTGCCATTTCCTATCGTTCCGGATTCTGCTCCGCATACTGGCAGACGTTACCTGCTCAGAGGCTGTCAGTCTGAACAATGTCACATGGTCGGGCAGTCCCCCCACGACAGTTGATGCCGCAAGCAGTATCTGCTCTGGTACATTCAGCCACGTCCGCAAGGTTGGACTGTCGAACTGCACAAACAACGCGGCAGTGCCCGCCTGGCTTCTGGCTGCCGCGAGTACGCGACACTCCTTCACTCTACGTCGAATTACGGGGCCCGCAGTCCCTGCAGAAACGTGGGCTATCATTGAGCTCATTCAGGCGTTCTTGCCAAAAAATATTACGATCGAGTATTCACAGTTCAGTGTCGAAGAAGCTACTTCGGGCGAGTCCTACTATCACTCCGCGAGGTTACGCTGCTCACAAGATACCAGATTCTTACGGATTCATTGGCTCTCTATCGGTAGGGGGTCCGGTCACCATGCATATCTCGGTTCAAGCTGCCAGGTTTATACCTCCCGACGGCGGCAACGAGACCTGGTCCGTTCACCAGATCGCCCTCGCCGACTCGAAAGACAGCGAGGAATCACACCGGTATCTCTACCGTCGCAACTGGTCAACCGTCGCATCCCTTCTATCTTCATTTCCACAGCTGCAGCTGTTCCAGATTTCTTGCGGGGCGCAGGTTTCAGAAATGAACTATCTTACACTTTCTAACAAGGTCACCCGAGCTGTCAACAACCATCCGGCCGTCAAGGTCAGACACAACCCCACAATGCCAGACGGGAGGTTCTTGCAGCCAGCGTTGTTTAGCATTCCCGAGAAAGATTTGGCGGCATGGAAGGCAAAAGTGTGTACTGAAAACGTTAACGTGACTGATTCGCATTAGGCTGAGCAGTGCTCTCGTGCAGAACCAACGGAATAGCAGGCATCGAGCCGATTGGAGAGTCGAGACGACAGCACAAGTTAAACGGAGTCGTCGTCCTGCTCTCCCAGATCACCTGGACTAACTCTGTTTGTTGCATTTGTTCCCACGGATTGTCCCATCAGCATCTTTCTGGAGGACTTTTCCACTTACAGAAGCATGTTCAGCCAGGTGAACTCGCAGTCATTACGATGTAGCGCAGACTTAGCTATACGGCGTCGAAATTTGAACAAGTTGCCGCAAAGCGCCGACCGCGCCTGGGGGCAGTGATCGAGAGACATTATTGAAGTCACTATTCTGTTCCTAGGTACGACGAGGGAGAGATGAGAGGATGGTACAACATGCAGAGAGATTGTGGTGATATGCATCTATGAGCAAAACGCGGTAGTGATGATGAGAGAGAGGGAGATATAAACATGGGTAATGCACGTGTGGCAAAACGAGAAAGAGTCCAGATCTATGAGAGCGAACCGATGAGTGGAATAAAGGTCCTTTCGCTAAATACGAATCGCAGGCCGGGCGCAGCCCTCCTGCCCAATGTCCGACCGCCGCGGTGACGACGGGCGTGAGTGCACCGACCACGACGGCCGCCGGGTTTTGACCTCCAGCGGCGCCGGCTCCTCCTCGTCGCTCTCCTCGTCGGCCTCCTGGTACATCACGCTCGTGTTTGGCGCAAAGTCTTGCTCGCTCGGCGTCCGGTCCCCTGTCACATCTGACTCGCCATCCGAGTCCTCGAACGTCGGAGACTGCGGGTCCAGATCCTCCTCGCTCGCGCGATGGGACAGCGGGCTCGTCGCATGCGCACGCACCTGCGCATGCCGCACCAACACCGCATCCCGTGCCGCAAGATCCGGCACAGACGACAAGTCCGCGCTCCCGCTGCCTTCGGCGCGCTGCAGCAGGATCTGCGCAGCCGACATCGGCACCGCCGAGCCGAGCGAGCCCAGGGATGACACCGTGCTCAGCACGGCGCTTGGTACCGTCGAGACCGGGCTCTGCGCGACGCCGCCGAAGCCGACGAGGTACGTGTCTTCGTCAGGCCCATCTTCGCCGTGGTCAGAATACAGACTCGCCATGTCCTCCGACGGCCGCGACCTATACCCGTCGACCTCGCCCCAGCTCGCCGCGCGCATCGCTTGCGTCAGCGAGCCGTCGTTGTGCGACGACACGCGGTTGAACGCATCCTCACTCCGCCTTTGGGTGAGGTCGCGCGTGTGAGTCGGTCTGCTCCCGCTTGCGATCGACGACGGGGAGACGGCCCCGGAAGGTAGTGTGGACGTGCTGGCCTGCTGTGATGGCGCCCACGACGCCGGCTTATTGATCATCCACCGCACCAGCAGCGACAGCCTGCTCCTGGGCCGATCCTCCTGCGTCAGCTCGCTCATGTGTGGCGTCGACGGGCTCTGGACCGACGGCGATCGTTGGGGCGACGAGACGCGCGATGATCGCGCAGGTACCCGCAGCGTGTCAAGAGTCGACAGCGCAAGCCCTGGCGCTGACCCACGCCGGGGTTTTATCCCTGAGCCGCCGACGTCTGGAACGTTGGATCCGCCGGCAGAACTGGAAGCCCAGTCGAGGCTCTTGGTCTGCTGACTCGTCCGAACGTCGACAGACGACTTGTTGCGCCCCGCGTGCGATTTCATTGGCTGCTTGCCCTTGTCATTGGCGCCTGTCGCGCTCTGCGGCTGCGAGAGCTCGACGTGGGGCATCGAACGCGTACCTATGCGCCGGTATCGTTGTTCTTCCTCCGAAAGAGGCTGGGCGGATCGACCAGTATTCGCTCGAAAAGAGCGCTGAGGCCGAATGTTTCTGAAAATAGACGAAATGCCGGACGAAATGCCTCGCGCAAGGCGATTGCGAAACTTGTACCGAAAGAAAACTGTCGACAGGGCTGAGCTGGTCTCGTCCTCGGTGGGGGCTAATGATACGTTCTCGGCGCCGTTAGTAGCGCGTAGCCACTGCTCCGCGTTGGGCATATCGCGGGTGATCCACGGATGGCGCTGAGAGACGGTGAACAAGCGGAATAGTGAAGAGTGCATCAAGACGTACCTTTATGTCCTGCAGGTCCAAACGTTTTGCAGGGTCCTTCTCCAAAATGCCCTGCAGTAGGTCCACGACTAGGTACCCTTCCGTCTCCTGACTCTTCTTCGGCTTATGCTGGCGGCGACCACCAACAGGGATCATGTCCTGACCCATGGTTTCCGGCACGTCCCAGTCTTCCTCCTTGATTTTGTTGTATATCTGATACTCGCCCTCGGAGAGGAAAGGGAGCTTGCCGAAGAGTAGTGCATACAACGTGACGCCAAATGCCCATATGTCAATAGCCTTGCTGATGACGGGCCTCCTGACCTCAACGCTGGTCGACTCTAGATTGCCCGACGTGCTCGCCGAAGCTGACATGTCTGCCGAGCCGTCGCTAATGATCTCGGGCGCGAGGAACGTTGGCGTGCCAGCGAACCTCGTAAGATCAGACTCGTCTAGAAGAATCTTGTCGTGCCCTTCCAAGTCCTGAATGTCTGCTGAGTCAGCCGTCTTGCCTTTGGCTGCGAGGAACTGGGCGTATGAGAAATGGGAGATGCCGAAGTCTGCGATCTTCACGACCCGTCGGTCGGCAGACCAGAGAAGATTCGCAGGCTTGATATCACGATGAATGATGCCTTGGTCGTGGACTGAAATTGGGGTATTTGATGCGTGAGAAGATGTCAATTTAAGGAGCTGAGGGACGACTGACGGTATTCCAGACCCAAAAGGACATCTCGGCAGATGCGCCGTGTTTGACTGACACGAAGCAGAGGCTCTTCATCGTCTGTCCGCCACTTGATTTCCCCACCTGCCATGAACTCCATGACTGGATGGCACGTTTGTAGCCAAGGGAAGTCACGCGAGAGGAGAGGGAACATGACGGGTAGATTAATAGAGGGTCAGAAGGGTGGCGCATGAGAGGAGGAGAGCGATTAGAAGAGAGGAGGAAGCGTACCCATGTATATTCTCTCCTTCAGGTTGTCGTTCAAGACCTCCATAAGCCGTACGACGTTAGGATGCCGGAGCTTCTTCATAATAGCTATCTCCTTGAGAATCTTTATCTCGGTTGCGCCTAAATTATTCGCTACAGATAGATGCTGAGGCGACCGTGGCAGTCTGGAGCGTCGTAGCAGGCTCATGCGGTCCTGCTTTGGGTTCTTGCGCTTCATGGCCTTGATAGCCTAGAGGTGAAGCGGTCGTCAGAGCACAATAGAAGCGCATATAGCGATGCAAAAGCATACCACAATCTCATTTGTGAGCGTGTCCTTGGACTTCCAGACCTCTCCATGCTGCCCCTTGCCGAGCAACAACTTCATCTCATACTGGTTGATCATCTTGTGACCCTCGCCAGAACGGGTCTCTCGTATGTGACCTGTCTCAATTACGATTGCCGACGTGGTCGGCAGCTGAGGCGTAGAGGCGGTGATGCTGATCACCCTAGGGCGCTGCATCGTCGCAGACGACGACGTTGCGGACGCCATGCGCGACGGGGTGAGCGGTGGGGTCGTGGGCGACGGCGGCAGTATGTGGTGATAATGACGTTCAGAGACGGCGAGGTTACTTGTGTTGGTAAAACCGTTGCAAGCGAGGTCGACGATGCAGACGACGACAGAGAAGACGGTTAGGGCAGGAAAGATGAAAGGTTATTTCAGAGGGTCGAGTCTGAGTTTAGCTGGCGTTTAGTAACTAATGGGCGCCTGTGGATGCCGCAAAGCCGCGGGATGAGCTTCTCGGCAGTTGCCATATACAGGAATCTCTCCGCAAAACATATCGCGCGCCGTGCGCTCGCTCGCAGCCTGCACCCGCAATCGATGCACAATTCAGGGCACCAACGCACCCTACATCAGCCCCCTGTTTTACTTCGCACTTTTTCCTATCAGCTTTCTAGAGATCTAAATATTCTTCAGGAGTCGTACAAATACACATCCGCCTGACACGACACCCTGATCACATTCCAATGCTTCACACCCCTCAACAACCTCGAAACGACTCCTTTCAGCCACTTCATGAGCGAGGACAGGTGCATTGGTCGTCCTCGGGGACGTCTTTCATGACCTGTAGCAAGCGTAAACTCGTCAATCAGTCACGTCCAACCCAGCGAGGAACTAATGTAACGACGCCACAAAACGTATCCATCAGAAAGAGGCATTGGAAGCCTTATCCATTGTGCAGCCATGTCTCTCGGCCACCAGGAGCAATTTCGGCCTTAACGTCGTCGAATAGCAGAGACAGACCCAGGAACGTGGGTCACAACGTCCACAGCCGCGCAGCTGCCCCACGTCCCGACGAGAACCATCAGAACGCATTAGCCACCCCAGAACAGTCGCGGCTGTATCTTGATCAAGACATATAGAGCGGCCCAAACGCCTGCAAGAAGGCCTTTGTATTCCGGGGCACTAAGGCCGAACACAAGCAAAATGTGCTTCGAATGACTCACCGACTCGACATGCTTGCCACACCCCTGTGGGAAGAGAACGTAAGATCAGCACTTCACGATCAGGATAGCAGCGGACACAATTGAACAGGGCTCATCGTACGACTAGAAAACACATGCGCGGGGGAAAGGAAGCATTTCGCCCCTTGGACCTCAGTGAAAAACTGATGGCCGCGACGCTGGGGACACACAGCGCGGGGTAACGTGTGGAGCATGAGGCTAACGGGCGCGGACATAAATGAAGTCTTCGGGTGAGGTGCTTACCTTCCAGGTTGTCTTACCGCACGACTCGCACTTGACGGCGAAGCACGCGTTGACGAGGGTGATCTGTTCGGCGAAAGCCATTATAGATAACTATTCGACAGGGGGCGTTATCTTCTCTTCCTGAAATTTGGCAGTAGCGACGTACGAAAGTCGGGATGTTACTGTGGTGGGCGGTGGGATGCTGGGGAAAGTACGCACTCTGCCGTTTATCCTTATATTGCGCGCCCGCGTGAATTCAGAGCCGGGTCGCCAGCGTGGTCAGCAGTACACGCAGTTTAGAATTGGTGGGACTCGCCAGCTCATGCTACACGACACAGAAGCAGATAGCAGAGGCACCAGCGGGGAGGTGGCATGGCTTCCCAGTGAGAGCTTGACATGCGCAGCTGGCCCAGAGTCACTAGTTCTGACCTCGCTCCCCCAGTGATGATAGGACCTCGATCACCGCAGAAGCAGAAACACTTACTGATCCCTGCATAGGAGCTGTTGGACACGATAAGCTTGGGATATGAGGAGAAATACATCTATCGCAAACATGCCACTCATTGCACTTGTGCACTTCGACCGAGCTCAAAAGCGGACATTGGGGCGTTCAATGCGTTCGCGAGTACTTGGTCGAGGGCCCGGTGATTACCAACACCATGACGGCACATATCGCCAGCTCCTGCGTTGTCAGCCACAAGTATGAAGGGCTAAGCTGTAGATTCTACGCAGGAGACACGCCTACGAGTCGGAGTCGACAACGATGAACGTCGGGGGTAAGTCAATGAGAAGGGCGACGTGCGACGCGGGTTCAGAATCTCATGTATCGAGACGCTTCCGAACCACTCTTATATACTAACCAATATGATGCAGACAAGTAGTGAAATGACGTGCGCCACATCTACAGGACTGGAGTCCAACTGAGATGGTACTACTCGGTCGTCCGTTGGACGGACGGTGGTGTTCGGGGCCTCAGGTAGAGCGCCAAGTGTCGGGCATCGGGCCGTGGTGCTGTGTTCCGCACTAGTCTCCATTTAGAACCTTTTGGTTGGCTCGACTCAGCCTCCAGGGCGAAGCGTAGTGACACGCAGTAAGTGATTCTGTAGAGATTATTTGCAGGAAGGGCTGCATATATAGAAGCGAATTTTCGCGCTCTTTACGACAAGGTCGTAATGCTTGAAGGCCCGTAACAACAATCGTCCGCTCATCGTGACTTCACACAACCTTCGATATGCCGGGCGGAAGGTTTTTGCGGCCAAAGCTGTTTGGTATTAATCAGGTGGGGCAGCTGAATGAAAGCGAATAAATAGGTGCGGGCTGGAAGGCGTAAACTTTGTACCACGTTAGGCAGCAATCCCGTTCAGACGCGGCGATATTTGAGACTTTGGGCTGTATTTATGCAAGGCCCAGTGAACAGAAACGGCCTTTGGACGCTCTACTAGTGCACGCCATTATTGTTGCCGTACGACATGAAAAAAAACAAATAAGAGATTGAAATGTGCAGCATTCATTCGCCCTTGAGCCTGGCGGCACAGGAGGGGCACATACAGCAACTACCTGCTGTCCAGGATCGCAGTCCGCAACCGGCGAAGGGCCTCATCCACCTCCTTCTCACCGAGCTGACTGAACGATGCCCGGACGTACGCCGACTTGCGCTTGTTGGGGAAGAATACTGTGCCGGGCAACGCCAGCACGCCACGCTCGAGCGCTGTCGTCCGGATAATCTCGTCGGAATCGCCTTCGCGGCCTTCGCTGCCGGTAAGGAGCTTGAACCTGCACCTTCTTGTTAGCCCCACGCGTTTGTATGTGTGTACATAGGGGAGACAGACCACATGAACATTCCCGCCTCGGGGCTCGTCCACTCGGCGACATCGCTCAAGTGCCGTCGCATCGCGGCCTCGAAGACGTCCCGCTTCGTCTTGTAGAACTGCGAGACGCGCTCGGAGTGCTTGAAGAAGCCGTCGTAGCCCCAGCGGCTGAGCACAGCGACGGCCAGGATCTGCGAGAGCGAGTTCGGCTGCAGATTCGACACCGTGCTCTGCACGACGGTCGCTGTCAGCGACGGCCAAAAGGTTCAATAAGTGCTTACATGGTCGTTCATAGCCTTGATAATGACGTTCGGACCGGATGCGAAACCTAGACGCAGGCCGGAAGAAAGAATCTTGGACAAGCTGTCCAAGCGTATGACGCGACCAATCTCTAACTGATCTTTTTCCAGTGCAAAGTAGGATGGAGGACGGGGGTGTGGACCATAGTACAGGTAATGGTAAGGGTCGTCCTCGAGAATGAAAAAGTCATGTTCCCTCGCTAGCTGAAGGACCTTTAGACGGCGTTCTAGGGTCGCCGTCATACCTGTCGGGTTGCAACCGTACTGAGATAATCAAAATCAGAGATTCCCTCTCAGCTTAGAGTTGCACTCAGTATTACCGGGACAGTGTAAAGCACTTTGGGCTTCGGCTTGTCCGTGGGCCAATTTTCAAGGAGCGCGCGGAGAGAAGACGCATCAATGCCGTCGGCGTCAGTTTCAACCTCTGATGCCATGTCAGTCTGTGTGCATGTGGCGCCGTAAGGAAAATAACACTCACCGTGAACATCACATAGCATTGTTTGGAACATTGGCGGTACACCCCTGCCTATATCTCAGCGGAGTTACAGTCACAATGAGGACGAATACGCACGCATATACAGGGGCTTCAGTCAGAACAGCATCTCCCGGGTTCACGAGTGCTGTGACGGCCTGTTCACGGATAAGCCTTAATCATGAGTAGATGTCCGTTTAGGCTAACCTTGTATATCAAGTCCTGTGCGCCATTTCCGATGGTAATGGACCAACCCTCCCCTTCGTTCCTCCCGTGTGCAGCCTTCTGCAGCCCGTACGCCCACTCGATCAGCGGTTGAATGCCAGTAGTGGGACCATACTGTAAGCCAAGATCAAGCTCTTCCTGGCTCAGATTGATGGGAGTCTCGATCGTCGGATCGACAGGGTCGCGTAGGGTAAAGTTCAGGGATGTTATGGGGAACGTAGACGAATGAGGTTTCCCCGCAAGCAGTGAGATGATCCCGGGACGTTGTTCGAGATGTAGGACAGAGCGAACTGTGGCTTGCCATGAGAAGGAATATGAAAGGGTAGATAAAGAGCGTACTGCCATCGAAAGCCCTGTTCTTCGCTGTAGTCGAAAGGCGAGAGCGGAAGTACTCGTCGGGAAGGGTCCTGAACGTGACATCGCCAATCTGAGGTGTATTCACAACCTTGGTAGGTTCGACCACGACAGGTATGTCATCTGAATGAGTCACGACTGGGGACATGCCAACCAGTGTGAGCGTTGGGAACAGCTTGTTGGCATCCAGACTCGGCCGAGGTTTAATAACTCGATCGAGTCATGCACTTCACGCGTTGCATCTGGCTGACCGACCGACAGAACGGTCAATGACCAAGCAAAGCGGTTCCCCAGAGAGGTCCGGAACTTCCAACACCGATCGATAAGAGGCACATAGTCCAAGCGAAGAGTCGCCTGGTGCAAATAATCTGACGGCCCGTGGGCTTCTTGTCTTAGAATGACGGCATTTGAAGTAACAGCAGAGCGTTCAATCCAGCTAGCGATTCGCCCGGGTTGTGATGTCCAACGGAAACATCGAAGACCTCGAGACGTGCCTGAGGTACTGTATTATGCGCATTGAATTATCCGGATACCACAGCCGACAATCTTGCCTGGCCCTCCCGGATGCTGCATTGGCGCACATCGCAGATAGGTCGCATCTCCAACGTCAAATCCCGCAGGACAAATGTATCAAGACAAATGTATTAAGAACCTATGTAGACTCCGGTGTAAATCGCGAAAGGATTATGCGACACACTCACTTTGCATGACTGGGCTAGTCGCGCGCTATAGGAAACGACGGGAGCTTGGCAGCTTACATACCCTCTGACAGATGCGCCCGTGAAACTTGTGACAATAACAGGAGCATAGCAATAATGAGCGATTGGGATGCCGCAGAATGGCAGCCACGCGCCAGAGAGCATCCGGGGCAGGTGAATACTTTGCTGCAGCCCCACTCTGCGGAGTTTCTGTAGGGAGATGGTGGATGTTGAGGGACGGGGTAACTGTTGGATGCTACAGACAGAGGGCGTGTAGGAAGGTTGGCACTCGCAAGACGCGCACAGTTCATCGTCAAAGCTTCGAGGATGCGGTCCGATGTTGCCTAATCCGTGCAACTATACAGTAGCAAACCTTATTTTCTCGGCAGCCTCCGGCGTCAACGAATCCGGTGTTGCTCATCGTCCAGAACATCCTCAAGACCCTCAGAACCACCGTCAACGATGGCCTCCCGTCCCACAGTCAACGTTCACTCTACAGCAGGAGGTACGTTGGCACGCTGCTGGAGAAAATTAGATGAATGAATGAGCGGGTTTGACCCAATACAGAGGCTTCCACCTCCCTCCCCTTACCTGCGGTCCTCACCGCGCCCATCAGACTCGATGTTGTCCAGCAGGTTCACAGTGAGTCACGATCTATGTGCCTGAAGTAGCCATGATCTCATTTTTCTGCAGAGAGCCTCGCCAAGAATAAGAGGCAGGCGTACGCCGTGAGCGAGAAGGCCGGCCACCAGACCTCTGCTGAGTCCTGGGGTACTGGTCGTGCCGTCGCCCGTATCCCCCGTGTCGGCGGTGGAGGAACCCACCGCTCCGGTCAGGCTGCGTTTGGTAACATGTGCCGTGGCGGTCGCATGTTTGCCCCCACCAAGACCTGGCGCAAGTGGCACGTCAAGGTCAACCAGAATCAGCGTCGCTTCGCCGTTGTTTCTGCCCTTGCTGCCTCCGCCCTTCCTTCTCTTGTCCTTGCTCGCGGCCATCGTATTGAGCAGATCGAGGAGGTTCCTCTCGTCGTTGACTCTGCCGTCGAGTCCTTCAAGAAGACCAAGGAGGCTGTTGCTCTCCTCAAAACCCTCAACGCTCACGCTGATATCGCCAAGGTCTCTAACTCTCGCAAGCTCCGCGCCGGCAAGGGCAAGCTGCGCAACCGCCGTCACCGTCAACGCCGCGGTCCCCTCGTGGTCTATAATGAGGACAACGGCATTGTTAAGGCGTTCCGCAACGTCCCTGGTGTTGAGATCGTCAACGTTCGTCGCTTGAATCTCCTCCAGCTCGCGCCCGGCGGTCACCTTGGTCGGTTCGTGATCTGGACCCAGGGAGCCTTCGCCCTCCTCGACGAGGTCTTCGGCACATTCGATACGCCCTCGGTCTACAAGAAGGATTACGTCCTCCCTACTGCCAAGATCACGAACCCCGATGTAACGCGTCTGATCAACAGCGACGAGATCCAGTCGGTCATCCGCCCCGCGAATGCCAAGCACCAAAAGCGCCCGTGGACGCAGCACAAGAACCCTCTGGTCAACAAGGGTGTACTCTTCCGCTTGAACCCTTATGCGAAGACTCTCCGGAGGCAGGAGCTACGTAGGTCTATCTTGTTATGTCATGATGCGCGTATATCTCATTCCGTGGTCAGTCAAGCAGGAGCGCATCAAGGCCAAGGGCGCCAAGAAGGCCAAGACCCCGAAGGCAGCCGGCGAGGCCTTCTTGAAGACTTTCTTCGCACCTTAAGTGCCCTCGCTCTCTCGTGCGTGTGTGGCTGTGGAGGAGTAGAGATTGGGATGTTGTCGCGACTTATTGCTTCGATACAGCTCTTCGTCGTATGCTATTCCACTATCTGGTTCTGCTGTCGCATGTCCGATATGATTACCATACCGAAAATAAGTTGTACTGTCGCGTGGTGTTCGGGGACTTGTGGTTATGTACGAGATGGACTGCCGACGACCTTCCGCCCATACGCGGGTACCATCGGACTCAAAAGCTAGTCACCGCTTTGCGTTTCGCGTCCCTATTTCCCTCGCGGATCCTGCGATACCTGACATGCACTCGGTTTGACACACTATCGCACGCTTCTGTCGCCCCGAATGCCACCACGACTGAATGAAAGCGGCGGCCGTAGCTTCATCGTGTGCGTATGTCGCACTTGGGAGCGCTTTCAACTTCTTGTACGTCCTTCACTGTTTGAGCTTGGGGCACTCAGTACTCAAGTTCAAGGGTAGACGGACATTTCGTATATTGCCATGGCGGTCACGACGTAAGACAAGTTAATCAGAGGATACTAGCGGAGCAATTAGAGGCCGTTCCCATCGCGTCTCCTGCCATCGTCAGGGACGAGACTTGGGGGGGGGGGAAGTTCAATAAGCCTTCCGTGAATACGGCAGAACGGATATCAGCAGTGTATGCTAGGCAGGCGCGTTAGTACGAGAGAGGTAATGTTCCTCAATGAGCTCTTCAGGGCTGCGCTGTGTGCCACGCGGGAAGGAGGAGTGTCCGGCTCATAAACTTTGTGGACGGTGCGGCATGCCGGCAGGAGGCACATGAGCGTCATCCAGAGACGAGGGTCGGTGAAGTAAGTGTTGGTGAATGTCAACATAGTGATATGTTCCGCAAGCCAGGACGACAGTGGGGACCGTAGTATACCATAAAGCATACGACAATCTCCCTCATTCTTCAACGTGAGTCTTCTGAAGAGGCGATGGCGGAACTGTCTGGACCAGGTTCGCGAGACCAGGGAGAGCCTCCTCAATAAGCCAGCTTCCATGTCAGAGCTTGCGAGGAAGCCAAAAATGTAGTCGTGCAATTCTGGAGGTAGCCGCTCCAGCAGGCGAGCGAACACGCGAGGAGTAAGGGACTTGGCACCTGGAAGAGTCGTTTAAACAGTGCAGCTACTTGGAAGTAGAAGCGATTGGCTTACCACTTCGTTGTTGTTGCTGTCGCCGCCGCCGCCGCTTGAGAGACTGCTCAAAATTTTCTTCAGAGGAGGCAGGAGACTCCACAAAGCTACTCCTGCGGCGCGTACACTTATCCTTAGGGGTTGAGCCAAGTCGAGCTTCAGCGTTAAGTTGTCGAAAGAATCTAATCCCCGGCAGCCGACCATCGCAAGATCTCTCCCAAACGTCTCCAAGCCCGGAGAAATCAGTAGATCTATTCTCGCCGCGCGCAAGCCTTGCCATGGATGTTGAAACGCTGAAGATCGACGTGTCAAAGCGACGTAAGCTGTCGTGGTGGCCAGCAACATCTGCTTCGACATGCTACCAACACGTGGTGACGGCCGCGGTCCCGTTCGATTCCCACCGCTGAGCGAGAAGCACAGCCGAAGATTGAGATTCATGCGGTATGCAATGAATATTCGAAAGAGAGAAGAGAACACAGACGGCGAGACAATGCTAAAATTGGGCGTCTTATTCGTGGACTTGGAAGCGGAATACCGATTAGTTCATTTAAAAAAAATTCTATCATCCCATTTTCTCCCCTGTGCAGAAGCACTGCTCACCGTGGTTAAAAATGACTGCACTCTCGTCCCGTATTGTGCTTTCTTGTGCTGCTACCAAGTATTCGGTGGGACCATATAGCGCAGCCACTCCACAATCCTCTCGTCTGACATACCAGGGTCGTGCCGCGGCGCGACAGCTGGATGACTGTTCACTCGTTCATGGCCAGCATAACCTTATCAGAAAGTGCGCGCAAAGTCCGCTTCTGGATGCTGCTGCCGGAAGATGTAGGCCTGATAACCTGAACCGAGACGTGCACGGTGGCCGGTGCGTGCTGCACCGTAACACCAGTGAACACACAAGTATCTTGGGAGAGCCATGTAAGCGGGGAGATTTCCGTGGGGGGACAAGTATAACTCACCCGATGTTGCCTCTCCGACATTGAAGGACAAGTTTGTCCTCGAACCACTGCCCAAAAACATACGGACGAGCTTCATGGTAGCTCACGTTCCACCAGGGACCGCCGGGCTCGCAATTTGACGTCTAGCGAACGGATATTGTGCGCTTGCCGCGGCCAGGATCTAAGCAGGTACTGCTACGTTGTCTGTGCAGAGGGGTCGCCCGACCGGTTGGCAATCCCGAGATAAAGCGTCTCCAGGCGAGTGGGTGCTGTCTGCTAGTACGCGGTGCGAAATTTAGGGCGACGGATAAGTTACAAGAGAATAAACTGAAAAAAAAAGATGTTGCGCAGAGAGCTCTTCAAAGTTCAGAGTCGAACTTCATGCTACACATTCTCCTCGTCATGGTGCTGCATGCCGGCAGGAAACGAACGAGTAATATACAGAGAGGAGGATCGGGGAAGCGATCGGCAAGCCATGCCGACAGTGAGGAGCGTGGAATCCTGGAGAGCACACGGTAAACATCATCGCCCTTTGGCAGCATAAGGACAGCGAAGAGACGAAGGCGAAGCTGTCGGCACTAGACTTGTGAGACCAGAAAAAGCGCTGATACCCCACGTTTATCGTCAGAGGTCACCAGGGTGACATAGGCGTAATCGTACAGTTCAGGCTAGTTCAGGAGGTAGTCGCTCCCAAGAGCAGATGAACGCATCGAAAGGCTCAAAGCTTCCGCCTGTAGGAAGAATATGAGCAGAGCGATTGAACGTCTTTCAAACTTATTTCTCACCTAGCACCAATCGACTCTCTGAGGTGAGCACATCGTCAACTTGAGGCATAGAAAGCAGTTCAAAAGTCAAAGCATTGGTGACCGTATTAGCGATGTCGGTCGCTAACGGAAGCCAAATTCGGAAGGGCGCATCAGGGCGCAAAACCACGTGATTTGGGCTTCGTGGGCGCCTCTCGCCGGTGCGTGTGGAACACGCTTTTGCCTCGCTTTTGCCGTGAGGATTATCCTCGAGATCTCTGAAATGCTACAGCTGAGCGTTGCTGTCTGGTTTACTCTCCTGCCATGCTATCCACAGACGCAATATTGAACCGGCGCACGAATGGAACCGTCACCGCCGTCGTCACAGTCGTCGCCCTGCTCTGCGGCGCTGGATACGCCCTCGGGATGTGGTTCCTCGGCCGACGCTGGGCGCATCAGGCTCGATCGAAAGCGTTCACGCTCAGCAAGTGGCCAAGAAGACTTGTGCCTGGTTCGTTCCCGCGGATCTCACCTCCATTATCGCTTCGCTGACATGCGCTCTGCGTAGCCTTTCACGTCTGCTTGACGCTTACTAGCCTGCTGGAGGTGCGTGTCTGCCAAGTCTCGTATATCCCATACTCCATATTCGATGGTTTCTAGACGGCTCTCGACGGCTGGCTTCTAGGCCAGTACCACTACACCGGCCGCTATGCCACCGTAGGCTCACGAGATGGGGTCCGCGCCTCATTGTACGTCTCCTTGCCTTCGCTCCCTACTCGTTTCTCCCGCTAACTCAAATTTAAGGATCGCCGCGGTCTGGACGCTTGTCTGCTCCATCGCTTTCACAGCCATGTTCCTGCACCCCTCGCTGTGGAGGCATCCCATTGCCTCATCGGGTGCACAGGCCATCTGGATCCTCCTCACCTGGTGCATCTGGGTCGCAGCAACGGCAACCATGACCCGCGCGTTACCACTACTCAGCACGAAGACAAGATGCGCGGGCGCAGAATATTGTGGGCAACTCCGTACCGTATTTGGTACGTCTTGATTTGAGTAACACGCGCTAATCTTGCGCTTACCGGATTTCGTAGGGCTGTCATTAGCGGAGGTGTAAGTCCGTGCCAACCTTACCTGAGCTTCAACTCTGACTTCATGCGTGCAGGCTGTTGCTGACATTGGGTATGTTCGGTATGGCTCGGTCGTTCTGGAAGACGTACTACTCGCCTCGATACTGACAGTCGGTCTGCCTTTGCTTGTATCTATGTGACTTGAGTTTTGCTCGGCTCGCGAGTATTGAGGGATTACTACTTCGTATAGACGCGTTGATCGCCGACTACGGTTTGGTCCAGCTTGCTGGAAAGTATTGGCGAGAAAGACCGAGTATGGTCTCACCATGTTCGAAACTGAACACGATAGGTCCTGCCGCTGGGTTGTGCCATGTTTTAAAAGTATTTCTTGGGATGCTCTCTAATCCGAGGCTCACAATGCCCGCTCGTCCTGTTCACCTCTGAAGGCCTGACACTATAATCGGTCCAGATCGTGGTGGCAAGACCTACGAACATCCGTTCTCGCAATTGAGGTAAGAATTATTGGCCGAAAAATTCGACTGTTTTAACGTCTTGACAGACATGTGACTCGGTGTTGTGTTGTACGGCGATAGCTGTGGAAAAACTCCGCCGTTCACAATGCCTGGGATTGTAGATGGCGGTGAATTGAGGCTGCTGAGGTCCTGGTGCTGGACTGGTGCATTCAATTTCCGACGGTGGTACGCGACGTCGACATACTCTATTGAAGGTAATATCCTGAGACGGCGCTGTCTTGGCGTGCTTCGGGGACTAGCTGGGGGACGCTCTGACTTAAAGTATGTCCGAGTAGGCTTCTCGCCCGGTACGGTCTCGCGCGTGCCGCTGCAGGCTCTGTTACGGCTCAAGCAACCTTAGCAGAAAAACTCTTATTTGCACTTTACACATAGGTTCGTACGTGTAGTCTGTTGTACATGTTGCTAAACACAGGTCAGCGTATAAACGTTGAACACTTTCTAGCGGACATCAACGGAGCTACTCGGCTGATCGACGACGTGTCTGCCGGTGCCGAAGCTCGCCGGTGTCGTGTTATAGTATGTCCGGCTTCTCTCGTTCAGTGTTTACATGCGGCTCACTGAGGCGTGCTTATAGGCGATCTAATGCATTTCAAACGACGCTGTATACTAGGGTACACACTCTCACATACTGGCGACCTACCTAGAAGTGGCATAAGTCAAATTGAAATTAAAACAATATAAGATAGCTATATAAATAGCGAGTCATTCGCTGGGCTCGTCTTCAGACACAGCTGATAGTCCTTGTCTACAGCCAGCCATGAAGTTCATCTTTGCTCTCGTTGCTTGCCTTGGTGCCTTTAACCTGGCTACTGGTACCCCTTTAGCTTCTGAGGGTAAGTCGCTCTGGATAATCAGAAGACGATTCGTGCTTATATTGAGTCAGATGGCATTGTCGTCTCTCATGCTGACCCTGCTGTCGACACTGCTGCCCTCGCTGACAGGAGTGGCTTCAGCGCGAAGGTGAGTATCCCGATTACCGTCTGAAATCGACCTGTAAGACGAGTATCTTTCATAGGAGACTCGCGACGCCACTCAGTTCACCATTCCACCGGGGATCCATCTAATACCAGCCAACCAGACGGTTCAGACCCACAGTCTGAGCGCTGCCGCTGTTAAAAACCCGTTTTATGTCGGCATCAACGTCGACCAGCAGGTCACAATCACTGTAGCTCTATGGCAGCATTCTTCCAATCCATTTCCTTCTCCGGCATCCCGGGCATCCCCAACACCGTTTTCAGCGGCAGTGGCGAGGGCACGTCCCTCACGGCGTCGCCCGTAACACCGTCTCCTGGGAATACGAAGGGCCTCGTCATCCTGCCGACAACGGACGGCTTCCTGCTGACCTTGTTCTTCCAGTTCAGCTCTAGTGGCTCTGGCGGGCCGCTCCAGACTGCGGTAATCAACAATTTGCCGGAGTCCGTTGTGGCCGACAACGAGCTCATCCTTACGGTCACTTCTGAAGACAGTGTCGACAACGATAATAACGACTCTGAGGTGACCATTATTGTTGCGACTGGGGACTAGGTGAGCCCTTTCGCTAGCCCCGCATAGGTAGAGGCATGTCGGTTCTGACTGCTCTTATTTACTTAGATCTGGTATCCCGGATGAGCGAATGGGCAGCGACTGTCGTTAATTCTGAATGCCTCCCAGATTTACGAGCTCTCTCTGTTTACTATCCAGGATGATACTGGCCTGGATTCCCCTCCGTCTACACGCGTCCCGTCTTGAGGGTTTCTATCTGCGATTTCAGCTAGTACTCGCGGAAGGTCGGTAGTATTTGTGTAGTTGTTCTCATAAATCTCTCTTTATACATGAAAGTTTGCGGCCGGTATCATAGTTATCGAAGCACAGGGTGTAATAGGCCGATAAATGCGTAAGATCACTTAAGGCTTAT